GGGTTTTAGAAAGTACAACCGTCCATTCCAGTTTGTGAGATCGGGACAGGTATGAATACAAACTTCAACGACTCAACTCAACTCAACGACTCAACTCAAGGTATATAATGATGTTCATGTTGCGCTGTCCTTGTGTTAGAGTTTGCTATAATATTGTAGCTATTATTTCCTGATGCAGTGCACTGGTGATATAAAGTCTTATGAGCTCGCAAGATATTTCTTCCATGAAGCAGTAATGCGTTTCGGTTTTTATTTTATTGCTTAGAGGGGTGGACCAGCTCACAGCCCACCGGTCTTAAGTGGTTACTGGAGCCCATAGAAATCTACAACGTAAATGCGGCACCCATCTTGAGATATAAGTTATAGGTCTCAGTATAGTTACAACGGCTGCCCCACCCTTCAAACCGAAACGCATTACTGCTTCACGGCAGAAATGGGCAGGGCGGTGGTATCTACCCGTGCTGGCTCACAAGAGGTCCTACAACCAAGTTTGAAAGGGCTGAGCATTTTACTATAAAATTGAGATTTAGAACACTTGTCTCTAAGGTGGGTGGCTGTATTTACATCCTTGATGTCTATGAACTACGTACGTATGTACACATTCTTCGTTTTTAGTCTATAGTAGACTTGTAGACGCTTTGGTTGTGTGACTGTGTAACTACTCATAAGCGACACAAAGCGTTTCCTAACTGTCTTCATAGTCGACACAAACTCAAAGGTGTTTCACGTCTGCGACGACAATAATCTTTGCCGAATACATTTTAATACAAGTCGTATTTTAACATTTTTAATCACTTGTAGTAGTTCATAAAAAACCTTTCTTATCTACACCAGAAAGTTCTTTTGCTTTTATATGCAGCCGTATTGTTTAAATTCTGAGCTTAGAACCCGTATAAGTAAATGAGGGGGTTTTAATTTTACGAATACGGACAAGTTTTATAGCTCTTTTGAAAGTGTTGTTCTAGTAATCCTTTGTAAGCGTGGTATCTATATATTAATACGTGAAGCGAAAAATTTGTATCCCTTTTTACGAAAATTGCGCGGACGGAGGAGTATGAAATTTTCCACACTTATAGAGGATATAGAGAAGAAGTGCACAGTGCTATTTTTTTTTTAAATAATGCATAAAAGATGCGTTAAATCAATAAAGAAAACATTACACACACTACATACCATGTATTTGACGCACACACGCATGCATACTATTTATTGTCAAACTTTTGTATGACGTCTGTGGTCAAATTAAGAATAGATTAAATATTGTTTGTCTTTATTAATATTTTTTATAGTGTAGCCTTGGCGAAATTTGTGATTATAGAAGTATAAAATGCAATCTTAATAGTGTACAAACTTGCAATTCCAATTAATTATAGTCGAATTTCGACTACTGCGGGACCTCTAGTTTGAAATGGTTCTACGACAAAGGGCTATGGAAAACTTAGTTTTCTCTGTAGTTAACTGTATTTATTTGTCCAAAACTTGGGTTCAGTGTGAGCACAGCCACAGCCCAGTTCAAGTGGTCGTGGGAGCGACGTCCTGGGCGCGTGCTCAAATGAAGTTTCAAGTTATGACCGGGATTTGATATTTATCCTGATATGGGTGTTAAGCCCAAAAACCGGTCGTCACGAATACTTCGGCTGCAACGCGTGGTTATAAGCGTTCGAAAATAAAACTCAGACATTGCGCTAATATTGTACAACGGACTCACACTTTTATATCTTATCTTATATCTTTAAACGATCAATTCTTGTATCATCTTATATGAATCTCGGAAACGGCTCCAATGATTTTCATAAAATTTAGTATACAAGGGATTTCGGGGGCGATAAGTCGATCTAGCTACGATTTATTTTCAGAAAATGTTGTTTTGTTCGTGTTTTCAATAATCAACTTGATCGATAATTTTGATTTTTTCTTTAAATAGCCAGTTCATATTTTTTTATTACTCTGTCGGTAAGATCGAAAAATATTATTCATAATATATTTCATCATTTTATCAACATGTAATTCGTATTTAAATATAATTTCTAAAAAACACAAAATATCTAAAACAAAAATTCCGAACAAAGCTCGGTCATTATCTAGTAATAATCTATACATATAAATAAAATTGGAGTGTCTGTTTCTAATATTGAAATAACTACTTTTTACTACATGCATATGAATATATATACGGTACATACACCAAAATAACATTTTTTACAATTTTTGTCTGTCTGTCTGTCTGTTTGTTCCGGCTAATCTCTGGAACGGCTGGACCGATTTTGACGAGACTTTCATTGAGAGGTAGCTGATGATATAACGAGTAACTAATGCCCATTTTCACCGACAAGTTCCCAAAGTGGTCCTACGTAGGAAACACTTTAGACAGGAGATTACCTAAATCAACTACCTACCTAAATTCATTTTCACCATGCTTTGTGCTAAGTTTTAAAGAGTTTCTTAGTTAGGTGACGTTTTAATGTTTTGATTTGGGTACTTGAAATATCGATGTTTTATCGATAAAAATGTGTGATCCACGATTACCTTTAAAATATCCATCAAATAAAAGAATAATAAATATTAATGACAATAAATCATAATTATACGTCTGTGGTATATAATTTAGTAAAAAAAAACCAATCTGTTAGATAAATATGAAATTGAATAACGCACTGAGGCTGTTAGTCCTGAATGTCAATGATTCAATATGTAATGTCATTGAGTATACATAAGTGGAAAATAATTAAATAATACACTTACCTATTGTCCTTATATTCTAGCAGATGTTCAATTTTTTCTAATAAAAATAGCAGTTTCTTTTGACAGCCTATACCTAAAGACAAAGTCTTTGTCATCGTATTTTTCGAAATCTTCAGTTCTCTGACGATACAAGCGTGGCCTTTTAAGTACAGAGTGACTAGAAGCTAACTGTAAAGACTCAACTGCTTCCAATTTTTCTAAAAATAGAGTTAAATCATCGTCCATTGTTGAAATCGTTATCAAACCTTTTGAATGTTATGTATCGAAAAAGATGACAGCAGACATAAAACTCTCTTCTAGTGTTAGGAGACAGTTAAGGAACGAAACATCGGGTTCCTAAATTTAGGGAGCCTTTTAAGAACTTAGGAGATACCTAAATGTTGGTGAAAACGAATTTTTAATTAGGCGCTCCTTAAATGCAGTTAAGGGATCCCTAAATGTCGGTGAAAATGGCCATTAGGCTACTTTTTTTAGACTAGCTTTGCCCTGCGGCGTTACCCGCGGTACGAAAATACCTCAGCTATCAATAATAAAATTTAATGTTTCCGAAGCGAAGCGAGGGCGGGTTTGCTAGATAAGTTATAAAATAATTGTTGACATTATTTAAAAACATTTCATTTCATTTTTGTTATTAATAAACCTTCCTTAGCGCCGTAGTGATTGGGCAATGAAAGAATACGATGCGATGATCCTAGAAAATATTTCGAAAGAATGCCTCTGATTTAAGACGTAAGAAAAGTATACTTGGTTTTATTTTCGTTTACATTACATTAATCACCCCAACACTTAGCAGTAGGGTTTATTACAAGCATACGCACAGGAAATTTCCATCCTATTACAACAAAATTTAATGTAAAATTCAATGAATTGCTATCATGTCTCTAGGTCGATAGTATGATGAAGTAGCTCTTGATATATGGAGAATTATTGAGGATTTGTCTATGAGATTCTCGTTAGAAAGGCCATGAGCTCATCTGCGTTTAATGTACTAGATGAGGAATCGATCGCCATCTCCAGTGACAAGCATAGCTTTACGATACCCACAAGCAGATATGATTTAATATTCCAAGTCTATTATCTCTCTCTGTCTCTATTATCTGCTATCCGGCCACAGCATTCATCATCAGCCTATAGAAGTCCACTGCTGGACATAGGCCTCTCCAATTGCACGCCATTGAGCACGATCCTCGGCTTCTCTCATCCAGCTCCTGCCAGCCACCCTGGGCAGATCATCACTCCACCGAGCCTGAGGGCGTCCTGGACTGCGTTTTCCAGTTCGCAGTCTGCACTCAAGAACGCGTTTACCCCAACGGTTATCCGTTGTCCGGCTAATATGGCCAGCCCATTGCCACTTCCGCTTACTGATTCGCAGTGCTATGTCTATAGCTTTGGTTCTCTGTCGGATCACCTCGTTCCGGATTCGATCTTTCAGAGAAACTCCAAGCATAACCGTCTCCATAGCTCGCTGAGCGACTTTAAGCTTGTGGACCAGTTCAACCATGAGTGTCCACGTTTCCGCATTATCCTAACCTAATTCTTTAGCCAAAATCGCTGTCGGTACTTCAATCCCGCACTAGTTAATATCATCATTACACCTGATCCTGAATCGAAGCAATTTTGCGGTCCATTTTAACAAAACAACAGTATCAATAACTTGTTGAAACTATTATGAATATTATGCTTAATTCATCTAACATTTGACATACTTTGAATGTCACTATCACTTGACTTTCTACCAGCGTCATATTGGTATAACTAAATGAAAATAGTTGAAATATTTGTAAACTTAATAAACTAAAGGTGCGGCAATTAAACTAGTTCGATAATAAAATGTAAACTCATTTAAAATTACATTAGCGACCTTGTTTATTAGCATCTATTAAAAGTAAATTATCATGTAAAATAGTGTTATATGAATAAACACTGATATAAATGCGAAGCATCTGTATGTTCTAAACACGTTATAGATTTCATCAGAAACTACACAAGACTACTGTAGTCGCATTGAGCAGGATCAAGGATGGGGACTTCTTAACAACATTGTATAATTTAACAAATTTCACCCACTGAGTTTCTCGCCGGATCTTCTCAGTGGGTCGCGTGGATTTCTGTGAAGCACTGCTCTTGCTAGGGTCAGTGTTAGCAACACTCCGGCTTGAGCCCCATGAGCTCACCTACATGTTAGGGTGAAGCTGAAATAGCCTCTCAAGGCTATCAGCATAGGTAGGAAAAAAAACCATTTATTGTTTTATTGCAGACTATTCACACCCATCGTGATAAAATGATGCAGCGGGAGAGTCAAGATCTTCAGTGATGAGGAAAGCGATGCGAGGAGGACTGAATCCCACAGATTTCCTAATCAAAACTCCTCCCTGTTGGAAATCGCTCGCTAACACGCGATTGATAAAAAATTGCTAACTAAAATACACACCTGCTTGCGAGATTTGAACTCCGGTCGCAGCTGTATTTTTTTTTTATTGCTTAGATGGGTGGACAAGCTCACAGCCCACCTGGTGTTAAGTGGTTACTGGAGCCCATAGACATCTACAACGTAAATGCGCCACCCACCTTGAGATATAAGTTCTAAGGTCTCAGTATAGTTACAACGGCTACCCCACCCTTCAAACCGAAACGCATTACTGCTTCACGGCAGAAATAGGCAGGGCGGTGGTACCTACCCGTGCGGACTCACAAGAGGTCCTACCACCAGTAATTACGCAAATTATAATTTTGCGGGTTTGATTTTTATTGCACGATGTTATTCCTTCACCGTGGAAGTCAATCGTGAACATTTGTTGAGTACGTATTTCATTAGAAAAATTGGTACCCGCCAGCGAGATTCGAACACCAGTGCATCGCTCGATACGAATGCACCGGACGTCTTATCCCTTAGGCCACGACGACTTCATAGAAAAATTGGTACCCGCCAGCGAGATTCGAACACCAGTGCATCGCTCGATACGAATGCACCGGACGTCTTATCCCTTAGGCCACGACGACTTCATAGAAAAATTGGTACCCGCCAGCGAGATTCGAACACCAGTGCATCGCTCGATACGAATGCACCGGACGTCTTATCCCTTAGGCCACGACGACTTCATAGACATGTTTTTTCACATAAATATTTTCATGGACTCTTATTAATTTTCTATTATCCGAACTCTTACTGACGATCATATTCGTCGTTGCGCGGGTGGTATACCAGTTTTATGGACAAATAATTTAGAAGAGTGCTGTGTCAAGTCGTCAGGCCAGCCACCGCCATTACGCGTCGTCCAGCCGGTCCAGCAGTGACGTTGAATTCTGCAGCCTGTAAGAAACTAGCGACGGGTTGGCAGGTACGTCTACTCCTCACAACTTAGCCTCGGCCTGCCCCTCTTTTTGTGCATCTTTAGCGATACTCGCCCCCGCAAAAGCTTCCTTCAAAAATATTGAACCAGCGCACCGCCGTGGTGGAAAATTTGTAAAGAGTTTTTCCCTGCTACTATTATTCAAAATTTTTTTCACTTTCTACGTAAATGAAAAGGCGGGTAAAATTTAGCGTTATGGTAAAGTAACTATTTCACGCGGACGAAGTCGCGGGCAAAAGCCTACAAGGCTTTGTGTTCTGCTACCCACATTTTACAACATATAAATTTACTGCAATTTTTATTATATACCTGGGTAGCGTCATCGTCCACTCTCCTTCTGAAGACATTTGTTGGTACGACGCTTCGTTGAGGCACTGTGCGGAGCTTCGGAGGAGAAACTTTGTACTTCCAGTCCGAAGACGGTATACTGAAAAGAGGCAGGTCGTGTCTATTTAAAAAAAATGATTGAAGGATTTCCACGTACTAGTGCACTATGGTCGTTAGCCGATATTTCATTTAATTGGGGGTTTTAGTTCGACTCAGTATGGTGGAATTCTGTTTTTGGTATTGTTTAATTAAAGCCCACCCATAAAGAATAAAGAACCCATATATCTGCCTTAAAGGCCGAAAAATAATGGACTCTAAACAGCTTGTCAAACGTGAGCTCCATGGTCAAAATGGTAGATAGGATCTGGCTAATTTGCCTCTCTTGATTTATTAGAGCTTTCTTTTATCAGGGGTTAACCTGGAGAAGCTAATGGTGACTAGCCAGGTGAATAGAAGAAGATCACGAGGTAGAGGCCCGACACGTCGGACTGACCAGATCCGCACTATCCTCGACACCACAGTTCACGATAATACTCGGCGGCAGTTAGGAGCAAATGGCGTGGAATTATCCGGAATAAGCTCTTGTTGCAACAAGTTGATAACGACCCTCAAGCGGAAACCGAAGCGAGAAGAAGAAGAAGAAGCCTTGGCGTCTAGTGACAGTGTGGTTTTAGCCGGGGGACCACTCGACCCCAAACATGTCTGATAGTGACATGGTTTTACTGGTGGTAGGACCTCAGACCTTAGAACTTATATCTCAAGGTGGGTGGCGCATTTGCGTTGTAAATGTCTATGGGCTCCAGTAACCACTCCAGTAACTCCAGGTAGGCTGTGTGAGCTCGTCGAACCACCTAAGCAATAAAAAAAAAGGTTGTATTAATGCGACCCTGAAAAAGGTCCAAAATCGGCCGGTCATTCTATCCAACGTAACTTACGTTACGGACACTGCACTTGCACTGCGCCTTCATTTACGTTTTTAGTTCCGATTAAAACACTTTCACGGTTTAATGTTGTCTTTATTTTAAGGCCTTTATGAATTTATTAGGGCGCGACGTCTTCGAAGCGAGCGGTCATGAATTCGCTGCGTGATTTATAAATAGCATTGCTTTATTATTTATTATTTTATTTATTGCTTAGATGGGTGGACGAGCTCACAGCCCACATTGTGTTAATTGGTTACTGGAGCCCATAGACATCTACAACGTAAATGCGCCATCCATCTTGAGATATAAGTTCTAAGGTCTCCAGTATAGTTACAACGGCTGCCACACCCTACGTACCGAAACGCATTACTGCTTCACGGCAGAAATGGGCAGGGTGGTGGTATCTACCCGCGCGGACTCTCAAGAGGTCCTACCACCAGTAATAACGCAAATTATAATTTTGCGGGTTTGATTTTTATTACACGATGTTATTCCTTCACCGTGGAAGTCAATCGTGAACATTTGTTGAGTACGTATTTCATTAGAAAAACTGGTACCCGCCTGAGATTCGAACACCGGTGCATCGCTCAACACGAATGCACCGGACGTCTTATCCTGTAGACCACGATGACGTGAATCGAAAAAAAGACGCTGTTCGATTACTTTTAAACTGGCGATAGTGCTTTTTTTTCCCTATCTCTGCTGATAGCCTTGAGAGGCTATTTCAGCTTCACCTTAACATATAAGTGAGCTCACCGGGCTCAAACCGGAAGTGTTGTTAACACTGGCCAGTGCTTCGCAGAATCTACCACCGGATCGGAAACGCGACCCACTGAGAAGATCCGGCGAGAAACTCAGTGGGCCGTGTCTTCTTCGTCGGCAGGGACGGGTTCGACGAGGACGGTGATCGGTGCTTGTGGTACCTAAAAGCACCGTTAATGGATCGGGAGGATCCGCAATGACGTGTTTTGGGCGACGTCGACTAGGCCTTATAGTAAGCTGGCATACGTGCGAAAGTCGTTAAACAATAAAGACAATTTGACCTTAAGTTTCAAGGTTAGCTCATTCAGTCATTTATACATTAAGTTAAGTTAAGTGCTCTGAGGAATTGTTCGAAATGATACCAACGTCTCGTTTTTACCATCGGACCGCCCGCCACCGGAGTAGAGTTCATCCATACTACCTGGAGTCACTGCGGTCATCCACAGTGCGTTTCCAGAGATCTTTTTTGCCACGTACCATCTGGCTATGGAATGAGCTCCCCTCCACGGTGTTTCCCGAACGCTATGACATGTCATTCTTCAAACGAGGCTTGTGGAGAGTATTAAACGGTAGGCAGCGGCTTGGCTCTGCCCCTGTCATTGCTGACGTCCATGAGCGAGGGTAACCACTCACCATCAGGTGGGTCGTATGCTCGTCTGCCTATACGGCAATAAAAAAAAAGAGAGGCAAAATGGTGATGATCATTTGATACCAAGCGCATATGGAATACTTTAGGTCAGCATTTTCACCTGTTGTCGATATTATTGGTTCCAGGTGCTTCGACGGATGCGCAGCAAGAGAACAGCCAGCCGCTTCCACAGCCCCGGACCCCGGTGCCGCCTCGGAGCCAGCACGTAAGAGTCAAAGTGCAAGGTCTGACCTCGGAACCGAGGATGCAAGTCGACGGGTACCCGAGGATCGAGGCCAAGACGCTGCTGGTTAGAACTAGAATAAGAAAGAACGACTTTTGAATTACTTTTAATGTAAAATAAGTTCTTAAAATACCACAGTGTAAGTGTAAATTTTCTGCCGTGAAGCAGTAATGCGTTTCGGTTTGAAGAGTGGGGCAGCCGTTGTATAGGTAATTATACTTGAGACCTTAGAACTTATATCTCAAGGTGGGTGGCGCATTTATGCTGTAGATGTCTATGGGCTCCAGTAACCACTTTTATTATTATTTTTTATTGCTTAGATGGGTGGACGAGCTCACAGCCCACCTGGTGTTAAGTGGTTACTGGAGCCCATAGACATCCACAACGTAAATGCGCCACCCACCTTGAGATATAAGTTCTAAGGTCTCAAGTTGTTGGAGATTCCGGTTAGTCTTGTGCTTAATTGGACTTTTTTTTTCCTACCTATGCTGGTAGCCTGGAGAGGCTATTCCAGCGGAACCTTAACTAGTAGGTGAGCTCACGGGGCTCAAACCTGACGACGATGCTAACACGAACCCTAGCAAGAGCCGTGCTTCGCAGAATCTACCACCGGATCGGAAACGCGACCCACTGAGAAGAACCGGCGGGAAACTCAGTGGGCTGTGTCTGAGGGTTAATTTACTCGTCGAGCCCTTCGTCGCAAGCGACGGGTTCAACGAGAACGGTGACCGGTGCTTGAAGTACCTAAAAGCACCGTTAGTGGATCGGGAGGATCCGAGATGACGTGACGATGTACAACATTTAGCGTCGGGTACTGTAAGTGTCTTTATCGTGGTATCGTGATCTTATACTGATATCTTGATGACGTCACATGATTTTTTGTAGCTTAAGGCGCAAGATCTTTGAGTAGCACCTATCATTGGTTCGACGCGGACAGCCTCACTGACTTACCTGGCTCGAGAAATTTACTAAGCATCGCCGTGCCACTGTTTGACTTGAGAATTGAGATCGAAATCTCAACCGTATTGTGGAACTACCGATCCACTACCCATTCTTAGTGAGAAATTTTTATCTACACCCGTTGTATGTTTGATCAAGTATTCGCTATTACCAATAAACTATACTCATTGTAAGAGGATAGACTACTCACTTTCAACAGCGTTGCTCTGCCCGCCAACATTTAAAACGATCAAAGGTATCAGCCATTTTGTGCTCAGCCGCCATCTTGTGTTCCGTCTCGTGCGACGCCATCTTGTTTTCCGATTTGAACTCTTCTTACATTTATTTGCACCGTATTCATTCTTTGTACTTTTTATCCATTTTTCTTTGTCCGTCCGTACACTTCTCACCGTTGACATGGCTCCTGTATCACTTTATATTGTTCGGACATATCGTGGGTGGTAAAGTCGCTTTCCTCGTTAAGTGTTTTTTTTTAAAATCTGTAATGAAATCATGACGCGTCATTTTTTTGTAAACGTAAATATTGCTATGTAGTAAGTAACACACGTATTTTAATTTAATGTTTTATTTATGGTTTGTCATTTTTTATGTGACGAGGGAAACCAAGGTTCAAAACTAGCTTGCAAACGCGTCATGCCCCACTGCTTACGTAATTAAAATATATTTTGGATATTTGTAAAGCGCTAGTAGTCGATCTGAATTCTGAGTTGGAATCACTTTAGTATGAAACCTATGGAAATGAAACGTCAGCAAAAAATGCGTGCCACTGTGACGTCATCTAAACATGGCCGCTAAACATGGCGGTTTTAGTGCTGCCCAGAAGATTTTAATGTTGATCCTCAGCAGCTGCGGGATATTNTGTTAAGTGGTTACTGGAGCCCATAGACATCTACAACGTAAATGCGCCACCCACCTTGAGATATAAGTTCTAAGGTCTCAGTATAGTTACAACGGCTACCCCACCCTTCAAACCGAAACGCATTACTGCTTCACGGCAGAAATAGGCAGGGCGGTGGTACCTACCCGTGCGGACTCACAAGAGGTCCTACCACCAGTAATTACGCAAATTATAATTTTGCGGGTTTGATTTTTATTACACGATGTTATTCCCTCACCGTGGAAGTCAATCGTGAACGTTTGTATCGCTCGATGCCTACATCGGACATATTATTCTTTAATCTTTGTGGCACGCAACATCGCGTTATAAAACTAGTACATAATATTTCAATTAATATAATGCTAATGAAATTGCGTGAAGAATAATTCCACTATAGCGCTTGATCAGAACATGCCATTATTGCTTAGAAATTACATATAGAACGTTTATGACAATGTTATATGATAGGTAATTTAGATTCAAACTTAGCCTTTGAAGTCGTTTGGGCCTAAAGAATAAGACGTCTAGTATACTCGTATCGACCGATGCGACTTCGCTGGTGTACTAATCTTGCAATGACATACGTACTTAGCAAATGTTCACGATTGACTTCCACGATTAGGGAATAGTATCGTGTAATTATAATTCGCCGGATCTTCTGAGTGGGTCGCGTTTCCGATCCGGTGGTAAATTCTGCGAAGCACTGTTTTTGCTAGGGCTAATGTTAGCGACAACTCCGGTTTGAGCCCCGAGAGCTCACCTACACGCTAGGGTAACACTGATATAGCCTCTCAAGGAAAAAAAGTAATTATAATGTAACCTGCAGAACTTAAAATTTACTATTGTAACCGACGTGAAGTCAGCTGCCATTCCCCCTTCCAACGAAGTGGGGAGTGATAATAAAACAAGCCTTGCCAGCCACTTCTACCCGCTTTTTTTGTCAAAAATAAAAGAACTTGTTATACTTGATCATTTAGAATACTATATAATTGAAACATAAAAGTATCAAGGTGATGGTGGGATTCAAGCTGTGACGCTAAAGGACTCCTGTACCTATTCAACAACCAGGTAGGGCGGGAGTTGAAATCCCGTCTTATCATCAGGACGGGACCGGCGAAGGCGGACTTTCGGCGCGCACTGCGGTACCGTAGGTTTGGTGTCGCCGGTGTGGTGGAGCTCGATGGAGTTTAGTCGGTAGTTGGTTTTTCGGGGCAAGCTCCTCGTGCGTCTTTTTCAAGGCGTAGTCTCCTGCGAGGAATTCGGAGACGGGGAGGACCTTGGCCCTCCTGATCTCCCTCTTCCTCCTGGGAGGCGCCGGAGTCCGGCATAACCCGCTTCGTTGCCCCCCCGACCGGGTATCCGTAAATGGATTCCCCAGCGTTAAAACGCAATGAATCTAAATAAAATACTTTAATCCTATATGGTTTAATAATATTTCAACCAGCGCGTTGTTACAGGTTTACTTTACAATTTGACAATATTCCGATTTGTCTTTAAGCAGCTGTTATTAATTTATGATCTGGAGTTCGAAAGAGGATGCTGGTTAATAACTTTGTTCAGACAAGTTTCTATGTGAGATAAACAGTCCTCGAAACGCCTCGTCGTGCAAGAATGAACGGCACAAAACCGCGCGTGAAGTCTTCGGCTTTATGGACCGACCAAATTAAGCCGGCAGAGGGAGATTCCTTAAATAAGTTGTCGATGATTGCCTTCGGCGGGTATAATTGGTGAGACATCGTGGGACGAATTTTAGGTATACGGTAAAGGGAACATCTTCCACCGACTGTGTCATATAACGACGGTCCGTCTACTGAGCAATATCGCGAATGTTGTTGGTCAGATTTTTTTTCTTCTTATTCTAGTAACCTCCAGGGGTTATTCTAGATTCACCGAGCTAGTAGGTGAGCTCTCGGTGTTCAAACCTGACGATGTTACGAGCACGAACCCTAGCAAGAGCCGTGCTTCGCAGAATCTACCACCGGATCGGAAACGCGACCCACTGAGAAGATCCGGCGAGAAACTCAGTGGTCTGTGTCTGAGAGTTAATTTACTCGCGGAGCCCTTCGTCGCAAACGACGGGTTCGACAAGGACGATGATAGGTGCTTGGGGTACCTAAAAGCAGGCCGGAACTTGTATATATGCAAGCTTATCTTGAAAATATCGTAAGCGAGATTCAGGCATCTGTCAAATATCTTGCGTTGTATGATGGCTACTCACCACACGCATCAAGACTGCCACATTCAATACTAAATATCAAACACGACCATTCTGTTACGAGAGTGCACCTTTAAAAAAGAAGAGGGAACAGTTCAGCGGCTCACGTCCAGTAGCAGAATCACAAACAAATCTCAAAAACCTCAATTGTGTTCGTTCGAAACGAGCCGAGCGCTTCGACCACTTAAAACCTCATAAATTCTAATTATGTCTGCCGTAAATCAAAGCTTACAAAAACGTTGGCAATTTCACAATCACGGCGTATTGAAATTGAAAAAGTCGCTGCGGCTACCAACATCCAAGTCTAATATCGGTTTTTATTAACTTCGCTGTTTGTTTTGTAACCGCTAACCGTGCTTTACCATCACGGTCAATAGTCAAGAATTCATTCGTAAAACAGCCGCTCTTGAATTGTTAGGTTTCCTTTGGATGCGCTCGGGTAGCTGTTAGCAAATCCCACCCCTCCTGGCTGAGCCTTTGCTCGCCCACCTGTCCTGGTTAAGCTGGAAAAGCCTCTGACCACCAGTAAATTCTCAAACATAAAAAAGTCTATAATCTATAATATGTTTAATAGACCATAAACCTAATGAGCCAGAAGATTTAGGTACAAAGCCTCGCTCTTCAAAAAAAACTACTAATACTACCTCATCATCACTCCTTTTTTTTCCTACCTATGTTGATAGCCTTGAGAAGCTATTTCAGCTTGACGTGTAAGTCAGCTCACGAGCCTCAAACCGGGAGTGTTGCTAACACTGGCCCTAGCAAGAGCAGTGGTTCACGGAATCTACGACCGGATCGTTCAGAAACGCGACCCACTGAGAAGATCCGGCTAGAAATTCAGTGGGCTGTGTCTATGGGTTAATTTACTCGTTGAGCCCTTCGTCGCGAGACACATTCTTGTAACAGCCGTTTTACTATTGAAATTCATAAAAATAGAACAAATTGTTGCTTCTTGACAGAAATAGGCAGAATGATTTTCCCCGTGCGTAAGAATTCTTTTGTGTCGATCCAAAACACATACCTAATATATCACTCTGGTGATATTTATCGTGCACGCTTCGCTTCGAATACTTCGTCCGTTCCTCATTCTTCAAATTTATTGCCGTTATTACGATGAAGAAATGTCCGCGTGGTTCCTAAAAATATTGCAGTGAAATTTTCAATCATCTCACACTCGGGAGCTCTTGTTGCATACTATAAATCAAGTTGTTATTTACGAGTGTACTTAAAGCCAATTACATGACGTTTATTGTATCCTTATTACAGGAGGTTGAATGCCGGTCACGGCGACTGGTGTGCCGACCAACACACTTTACTACCTCCAAGCACCACTGGGTAGGAAGTGTCCAACGAAAACAAAGAGAAAAATAATAAACAGACAAAAAAGTTTCACGAATATGCGGCAACATTTACAGTTTTATATACAATTTACATTATCAAATGTTTGACTATCTCGTGTTATTTAAATTAAATTGATTTTTTATCTTTAGCTGGCTGTTGTTTATTTTATGTAATTTTTTACTTCTAATATATTTTTTACCATTTCAAAATTTAAATTTGCCTAAATTTTTTGTGATTTTTCAACTGCGGTTGACCAAATTATTTATTTTAGACCCCATAGTTAGAAAGAACAATTTAACGTGAACTTTTCTTCGTCCTAGAAGTTGAATATTATTTAATGTATTTCAAGAAATTCAATTCGGCAGAACCTTCGGGCGGTGCTTTGAGAAAGCGAAAGCTTTACACCAAAACTGACAAACGGAGGTTAAATCTTAGAAACTTCAACGAGTAGCAGTAATTCAAAGCCAAGAGTGACTGGTGTCTATTCTCCCCTCATAACACACAAGCAGAATGCTATATGATAAAAAAGTCGCTCAATGCGGAGCGTGTTGAGCGGTCAATAAACAGCAACACAAATGCCGCCGGTATTCTCGACAGCTTTGAGACAAGAACTAAATAATCTTTCGCAAACGGTCGCATAGTAGACAAATATATTTTTTAACGATTGAAGCATTACTGGTGGCCGGGAGGCTTTTCCAGTTTCACCAGGACAGGTGAGCAAGCACGGGCTTAGCCAGGGGTGGGATTAGCTAACAGCTACCCAAGCACCTCCGAAGGAGACTTAACAACTCAAGGGCAACGTCTTCGCGATTGAATTTACTACCGGATCGGAATCGCGACACGCTGAGAAGATACGGCGAGAAACTCAGCAGGCTGATGTTTAGGTTAGGTAGCAAATCGAACTCTTTGCCGAGTTTGACGAGTACGGCTACCGGGGTCCCTAAGCCTGCCCCTAACGTTACAGCTGAAAGCGTCTAATGCAAGGGTTATTGGATCTGACGGGCCCGTAAGGA